GAGGGCAAGAGGAGAAGGGGATGACAGAGGACAAGAAATTTGGACAGGGTCATCGAAGCTACCAACATGAATTTGACCCAACTCCAGGAGGCAGTGGAAGATAGGAGGGCCTGGCGTGCTCTGGTCCATGGGGTCACGAAGAGTCGGACATGACTAAACGACTAAACAACAACAACCAATCCTAATATCTATATGGCTTATTTATTTATTATAGAGGATAATTTGCAGGGTAAGCATAATTAAAGGTACAATGATGTTTAGGTCTTTATTTTGTAAATAGTGTTTTCTTTCTTCATGTATTAGGCTGTGATCACACAGGCCCAGAAGAACCACATTTCAGCACTGTTAAAATTGATGTAAAAGTTGCTGAGCACATGATGCATGTGTAAAATCAATTTATTTGGCTACAAAAGCAAGTTTTTTTTCACCCCGTTGCCAGAGGCTTTTTAAAATTACTTCATCTCTAAATCACCCCAGTCCAATTTGTTTGGTGTATGTGAACATTCCTGTTGATTTAATAAGTTCCTCAAGAGGTGGCCTGTTTGATATGCTAAAAATTGTATCTGTTGCCTCCTGTAGTTGTCTTATTTTTTAATTTTTTTTTCCTCAAGGGGGATATTGATAGTTTGACAGGACAGGGAATTTACTAGCCTGGGAAAAGCACCCCCTTCTTCTTCACAAAGTGAACAAGACTGAGTAATCCATGACTGCCAACATACAGAGGCAGCAAACCAGGAACTAAGGAACATTTGGGTATTATTGGTAGATGTCTGGCGTGCTCTGGTCCATGGGGTCACGAAGAGTCGGACACGACTAAACGACTAAACAACAACGACGACGAGTAGATGAAAAAACGACGACGACAAGTAGATGAAAGGACAGTTGCATCTTGGTTGTGTAATTTTCTTGTTTTTCAGAGATGAAAACCAAACAATCACATTTTTATTTATCTCATTTATATTCCTGATATGCCCCTTTTCTCCCCATAGGGGACCCAGAGGAAAGGGAGGTCCATCGTGGGACGACAGCTGAAGCTAGATCTTTCCCCATTCTTTTTTCTTCAACACGGCCCGCTGAATTTTTCCACTAGGAGTTTTTGGCAGCTCTGGGACAAACTCGATCTGGGTTGGGAAAGCAAAAAGGGGGAAAAAGTTATTTCTCACTTGCACTGCTTTTCTTCTAATGAGCTCAGGGGTGGCTTGCCTGGGCTTTGTTCTTGCTAATCCTGGTAAGGACCCTGTGAGTTAAGACTGGGTGAATAAGAGAAGGTCCGGCTCAAAGTCCCCGTATAGTTTCATGGTTCTGAAGACACTTGAACGCATCCTGAAAATAGTAGTTTTGGGGTAAAACTTAGCAAAATCCCACAGCGAACTGGCCACGCAGCCTGAGGAATTCTGGGGTTTGCAATCCAGAAAAAGTAACATTCCCAAGCTTTGGATCTGATCATCCCCCAAATCCCAGTCCGACACTCTATCCACTAGATCACATTGCGCTGTGTCACTTTTTACAGCTGTGTGAAAATTGTCACATGACACAAGTGTTTCAGTTCTGCATCCCAACTAGAGTGAACTCACTGAATTTATTGCAAAATGATGAGTCAAGAGTTAAGTAAGTACCACAGATGCCATGGAATCTCACTGGGGGGAGCTGAATTGGTAAAACCACTCCTTAAATATCTCAATTCCTTTGAAAGCCCTATTAGGGTTGCTGTAAGCCAGTTCTGACTTGATGGCACACAACACATTCTAGATGCAATTACTAACTGGATTCGAGCTATTGAGTCAACTTTTTTCTTCTTTTTTTCTGTAACCATAGCCTCTTAATCCTCGTTTTAGGACAAAGGAAACAGAACTGCATAATCTGTTACACGGAAGGACAAATCTCAACTGAATTGGAGCTGCTTTGGAGACTTCAGGATTTGCCCAGAGACACTTTAGAGCTTTGAGTCTCTTTGGATTTGAAGTAACATGCCAGTATATGTTGATAAGGTTAAAAATATTCATGAAATATCCCCTTATATTCAGGTACAACAGCCAGAGAATACTGCAAATCTGGCTGGCCATTTTGATACATATCCCTCACGGAAAAGTATCTTAAAACAAAAACAAAAACAAAAACAAAAACAAAAACAACAACAACAACAACAACAACAACAACAACAACAACAACAACAACAACAACAACAACAACAACAACAACAACAACAACAACAACAACAACTTTTGAACTGCAGAACTGGAAGGGACCCTATAAATCATCAAGTCCAGCCCCTCTCAACGAGGCCCAGTGGGGAACTGAACTCCAAATTTTTGCTACATTTCCCGAAGGATAGTCTTTCACACTCACATTGTGCCTTTCTATAGTCTCTCTGCTGGGAGGATACTTGCCTTTCTAGGATACTTGTAGGGAGCTGTGGCTTTCTTCACATGATCTTGGAGTTCCTTGATTAATTTTTCTGGGTCATGTGATGAAAAGGCAGGAGACAAGACGACAAAAGCTTTCACCACCTACAGAATACCAATTATACATGTATTAATGGCTGAAAGACATCACTGGCTCCAGTGTGGTTGGTTTCTTGGTGTACTGGCCCATAGGTTACATTAGCCAAGAAACATGGAGTCTGTAACAAAATATTGTAGCATGAACTGTTGCTGCATGGAGTCTCGCAGATATTGGAATTACCCCAAGGGTTGAGATGTTGGTGGAGGGGGTTTTGTACGTTGGTTTGGCTGATCAATTAGTACTGAGGTCATCAGCTCCAGTCTGCGGCCCAGTGCCGGTCCGTGGCCTGAGCCAGACCGGGCCATGAAGACAGATTTCCCTCCCCCACCTGCATGCACTCCCCTCCCCACAGCTGCTTTGCGCACATGCGCATGTGCCAGCACTGGCATGAGCACTCCCTCACTGCTTCGCACATGTGCCCGAGTGCCCATGTGAAGGGGTGGGCGGGCGTGCATGCATGCATGTGTGCGTGTAGGTGCCCCTGCGTGTGTGCGAAGGGGTGGGGGAGTGCTCATGCCAGCGCTGGTGGATGTGTGGGTGCTCCCCCACCATTTCACGCATGTGCCCAAGTTGGGCGGGCGTGCAGAGAGGTGTGCAGGTGCCTCTTTGCATGTGCGAAGGGGTGGGGGAGCAGTCATGCCAGCTCTGGCAGGCAGGTGGGCACTCCCCCACCTGTATGCACCTAGTGGGGGTCCCCGCCTTCCTCGGAGGCTCAGCTGGTCCGCGGTCCCAAAAAGGTTGGGGACCTCTGAATTAGCACTAAGACTAGAAAGTGCCATAGCACTAAATTCCTCCCTCTGAAATAATGTGGTACTAAAAATAAACTCAGAATTTGCTGACAGACAAAAAAGAAGTAGTTAAAAAATGATAAAAGGTAAAGGTAAAGGTTCCCCTTGACAATTTTTGTCCAGTCGTGTTCGCCTCTAGGGGGCGGTGCTCATCCCCGTTTCCAAGCCATAGAGCCAGCGTTTTGTCCGAAGACAATCTTCCGTGGTCACATGGCCAGTGCAACTTAGACACGGAACGCTCTTACCTTCCCACTGAGGTGGTCCCTATTTATCTACTCGCATTTGCATGCTTTCGAACCGCTAGGTTGGTGGGAGGTGGGACAAGCGACGGGCACTCACTCCGTCGCGTGGATTTGATCTTATGACTGCTGGTCTTCTAACCCTGCAGCACAGAGGCTTCTGCGGTTTAGCCCACAGCTTGAATATCAGGGGAATTTGTGTTATGATCAAAGAACAAGGAGGAACATAAACACCCTGTCTAGAAGAGGCCTTTTCCAAACATAGCCATTGGCTTGATATAGTTTTACTTTCTTGTAGGGCATAGAAAAGTTAGTTTATTGTGAACTATAGTTCCCATAACCTCCTGGGTAATATGGCTGCTACTCGTGCTGGCTGGGGAATCACAGAGGCTGTAGTTCAAAGGCATCTTGAAAGCACTAGGTAACTTTAGGAGAATGAAGACCATTGGCAGAATTCGGGATCAGAGTCAGGCCAACATTAGGCAGTTTGACAGACCTGCTCAGGTAGCAGATGTTGGGGAAGGCAGTCTAGAAAAACCCACCGCTGTTTCCCTGAGGCACCCCTCCTTAACATTTCTTTAACCATCTGTGGTTAATGATGCCACCCGAACAACATTCCCTCTAACTTTTTAAGCCCCACTGGGTGGGGCTCTGCCCCTCGCAGGCGACTTTGCCCACGCACATGATTCCCTCTGTGCCAGGTTCCATTGTGACTGGAACCAAAGGGGCTGAAAACTAGTCCTGTCAGTCCATGGAGGAGAAAGAACGCTGCATGGAGAGCGGGGGTGGGGCTCTGCCCCTCACAGGCGACTTTGCCAACGTACATGATTCCCTCTGTGCCAGGTTCCGTTGTGACTGCAACCAAAGGGGCTGAAAACTAGTCCTGTCGGTCCGTGGAGGAGAAAGAACGCTGCATGGAGAGCGGGTAAAGTCCCTCTGCCACACATGCAGGCAGGCACCTTAGCAGGAACCTTGCACCTGAGTATTTGTGCCAAAATACTATCAGACTCTTGATCCAGTTGGCTTCTGTATGAGAAATGGAGGGTGACGTTTTGTCTTTTGCTTCACTGATGAAATGTTTTCTGGGACCTTCCGTTGGGGATTCATGGAAGTTGGCAGGATGACAAAGTGGTGTGTGTAAAAGTATTCAGACCTGACTGTGCTCCTGGTAGGATGATTAGGAATCTACCTTAGATAGTGTTGTATTTAAGTGAGCCTTACCTCGCCCCTGGCAGGATCGGGGCTGCTGACAACAGCCGATTCAGCAACAGCTGGGTGTTCCTGCAAGGCGCTTTCCACTTCGAAGGGGCCAATGCGGTATCTGTGAAGGAGAGCACAGGAAGTCCAAGGAGAAGCACGGAACGAAAGCAAGCAGATGGGCCAGGAACCCCCCCCCCAGCCAAAGTGAACCTACCCAGCAGAATTGATGAGATCGTCCGACCTTCCAACGAACCAAAAATAGCCATCTTCATCTTTAAACCCCCTGTCTCCAGTGCTATAAAAATCCCCACGCTCGGTGGCTGCTGTCTTCTCGGGATCATCCTGGAAACGACAACATGTGATTCTATCACATCAATGCCCGCAAGTCTATCTATATTGAATGTTGTACCTCCAGAAGATAAAGTAGCAACAGAAGTGACTCTTTTCAAATACATTTCTTTGAACCACATGAGTCTGATCAGTATGGTTTTGGTTATACGTGCATTTCCCCCTCAATCAATCAATAAATATTCAATAAATATGATGCCCCATGGGTTCAATGCTGAAGTGGTCTACGATGCCACTGGCCACGCAGAACCCCATGGGTTCAATGCTGAAGTGGTCTACTTGCTTATGCCCGGTGGTACCAACCCCTGTCTTGTAATCATGATGCTTTCTACTGTGAAACCGCTTTTTTTTTGTAGCAGCCGTCTAAATCCTTTACCAGATCTTTCAGGTGGTTGGAAACAGGAGCTAATGTTATTGAATTGCCCATCGCTAGATCTATCGAACAGCGTAGGACATGATAGGGATTCCAAACATGTCTTCTAATATACACCAAATACCTGTCAGGCTAACATTAATACTTACAACATACTGGGTGAAAAGACAAAATGGCCGCTTGGGTTTGATCCTGATAGCAATATCCCCTTCTTTCCCCGGAGGCAGAACATTACCTTGGTCATCGATAATCTAGAAGAAGCAACAGAAACAACAGGGATTGTATCAACTATATTTTTAGTCAATCAGTGTTACTTTACGAAGACCAGGCATGCAATGTAATCAGAATTATGCCTGGAGTTTGCAGGCTGGTTCTTAGAATTCCAGGAACAAAGAACAACAGTAGAAGAATTTTGTTTCCAGTATTCTGTTGTGAAAGAAACAATCCTTTTTTTCCCCTCCAGTGTCATACCAAAAAACAAAATTAAAAAAATGAAAGCTAGAGTATGGATATGTAGACCAGATGTGGGCAACATTTGGTCCTCCTCAAGACAGTGTAGAACAGTTATGATTCTGACCTTTTTTTGGATGTGCTATCAAGTGAATTCTGACTTATCGTGTCCCATTTCAGGGTTTTCTATGTGGTTTACGACTCCCTTCTTCTGGGACTGTGCAGCTTGCCCAAGGCCACCCAGGCTGGCTCTTCTGGGAGATGCAGCGGGGAATTGAACTCCCAATTCAACCCCTAAACCACTGAGCAAACCATCCAACTCTGTTTTGACCACAACTCCCCAAATGCCACATCCAGCACATCCAATGGCCATGTCGGTTGAAAGAAAAGTCATCCCAACACGGCAGTGCTGTTCTTAGAAAGCATCTTTATTGTCTCCGTCAGCCTTCCCAACCTTGAGTTCTCAGATGTTCAGGACAGCAACGCTCACAAATCCTAGCCAGCATCGCTAGTGGTGAAGGCATTTCAGTCCAAGAACATTGGGGGCCCTAAGGTTGGGAATCACCCGTCTATGCTGACCAGCCCATTCTGGGACTGGAAGTGCAGCAACATCGGCAAAGTCCCAGGCTGTTTGTTCCTGAAGCACGTGCAGAATTCGGGCTACGCAGGTGGATAGAGGGTTAATCCTTCCAACTAACCCTTCCCCTTAATATTGATGGCAAAAAAGGTGTGGGGAGGGGGGAGCCAGCTTGCTGCCAGGGTTCCCCTACACTCCAGGTGAGTAGCCCAGTTCTCTGCCGTTCCCACTGCAGAGGTAAAAACATTTCTTTTTAGATTACAAATACCAGAATCCCTGGATACACACAGACCGTGGCCAGACAAACTTGGGGATTTGCGGAACTGTAGTCCCAGTGTGTTATAGTGAATAGAGTGATGAACTAGGACCCTGGAGAACAGGGTCTGAAGCCCCACTTAGCCACCGAAACTCACTGGGTGAGTGGAACTGGTAAAACCACTCCTTAAATATCTCACTTACCTTGAAAGCCCGATTAGGGTTGCTATAAGTTGGTTCTGACTGGACGGCACAGAAAATACCCAGTCCAAAATAGCACTGTTTCCAAACTCTACCTTTATGGACCACGCCTCACCCCTTGAAATACATTAAGGCAGCAAGTGCACTGATATACAGTTGTGCCCTGCTTAACGATCACCCCGTATAAGGACGAATCCGTTTCATGACAATGTTTTTGCGATCGCAATTGTGATCACAAAACAATGTTTTAAATGGGATTTTTTCGCTTTGCGAAGATCGGTTCCCTGCTTCGCACTACGACGATCAAAACAGCTGATTGTCAGGGTTTCAAAATGGCCACCGGGTGCTCAAAATGGCTCCCTGCTGTGTTTTTGGATGGATTCCTCGCTCTACAGGCACCGAAAACGACCACCCCTATGGATGATATTCGCTGGACGGTGAGTTTTTAGCCCATTGAAATGCATTGAACGGTTTTCAATGCATTTCAATGGGCTTTTTTATTTCACTTTACGACGTTTTCGCTCTACAGCGATTTCGCTGGAGCGAATTAACATCATTAAGCAAGGCACCACTGTATCTCAAAGCTACAGGTGCTCACTTCACATAAAACAGTCCATTTCAATAATGTGAGTTTTTCTATTAAACAATCGCTTTGAGGAAGAATTGTATTTCACCACTCTTCAGATGGATCTTGTGAATATGAATGTTTCCTTATACCTGAACATCATACTGTACAGCTGGCTTTCCCATTGAGCCTGGCTTAATTTTCATTCCTTCTAGAGTTGAACACACCAATACCTGAAAGAGACAGAAAAGGCAACACAGCTATATGTGTCATGTATATATGTGTGTGTGTTTGCACAGAAGCCAGAAAACATTGCAAACTAGATGAAGACTTGTATGATTAAAGAGGTTGCATTTTCTGACAGATTTATAAATTGCCCTCCCCTTCCTGAGATGATCTACAAAATTCAGGATGGTGGAACGATAAGAACAGAACTAAAGGAATATATCACAGCAATTAAAGAAAAGGGGCTAGCTTGTTCATCACCAATGAAATAAAGAACAACACTTCTTATTTTGCTCCCGTGTCCAGTGAAACCTTAGTCCTTTTTCAGAGGTGGTATCGATCCATTTGGAGTTTTAGTCCCTGCACTTTACACAGTATATTCAAGCACCTTAGATAACTCTTGCGAAGTGCAAACTAAAACCCAGAGTGGATTCACAGCATTCCCAAAATGGAGGCCACTCACCTCCATGGGCCTTATCTGTCCCCCAAATGAGCAAAAGGGGGAAACATCAAAGATGGAAGCCTCCGCCAGTGCTTCTCCTTCTGCCTCAAGCAGTGGGAATGTTGAAGTTTTTACCACCTCGCGTGCTGCCTGTAGTAGGTGTGGTTGGGAGGGACATTCTATTATTCCTTCAAAGAGAGACTTGCCTCTCTGCTCTGTGTTCTTTTCCCTCTCTTTAATCTGTTAGAAGCAGTTTCTTTGCTGTTCATTTGCTTACAACTGGAAGTAATGAAATGTTTTTATTCTTTTTCGTCGTAGAGTGAGTTATTGAGACTGTAAATGCCAGTTAATAAGAAAGGGATGGACTATCTGGGTAACTTATAGCTATTCTCTGCATACTTCTACTGCGTAGCAAAGGAATGTTACTAGAAATTCAAAACTCTGAAACAGGGAGAGCCACCACAGCTCATATGGAATGAACCTTCCAGCTGTCTGATTTCTACCGGCAGATTGTTGAAATATTCTCTGATGACTGTTCTTTATGCATCTAGCAACATGCTCCATAAATGCACTCCTTTCTATATACGGTTGTGCCCTGCTTAACAATTACCCCACATTACGATGAATCCGCTTCACGACGATGTTTTTGCGATCGCAATTGCGATCGTAAAACGATCTTTTAAATGGGGTTTTCTTGCTTTGCGAAGATCGGTTCCCTGCTTCTTTTTCTCGGTTTGCGAAGATCAGTTCCCTGCTTCAGGAACGGATTCTTCACATTATGACGATCAAAACAGCTGATCGTTGGGTTTTCAAAATGGCCACCGGGTGCTCAAAATGGCTCCCCGCTGTGCTTAGGGATGGATTCCTCGCTATACAGGCACTGAAAATGGCTGCCATATGGAGGATCTTCGCTGGACAGTGAGTTTTTAGCCCATTGGAACGCATTAACCAGGTTTTAATGCATTTCAATGGGTTTCTTATTTTTGCTTTACGACGTTTTCGCTCTACAGCGATTTCACTGGAACAATTTAACGTCATCAAGTGAGACACCACTGTATCAGGGGAAGGCAAAGCCATTGAGGGTGGGATACAGCAAATAAAAAAGAATGCAAAAAATTGGAGGCAGCTGTACTGTTTCTGTTTGTCCATATCCTTCATAGAGTTCCAGCCCTGTTTGTTTCTTCCAACGCTCATACACTTCAGGGTTGAGTGGCTCCCCTCCAGTCACACATTGCTTCAGGCTCATGAATTTGTATCTGGAAAAGAAATGGCAGTCGTGAGCAATTCTAGAAGTGGAGGGCCCCTCCCTTCCTGTCCTTCAGTCAACCTTCCCCTCCAGAGGGGTCCCGTCCCTTTCCTCCTAGGCTGAGCTGTCCATTCCCACACCGTTCCCTCAGAGATTAACTCTGTGGGAAGGGTGGGTCAGCTAAAACTAGTTCTTTGAATGTGAGATAAAGTGATTTTTCTAGTCAGGCTAGTAACAGAAAGTCCTAGAAAATCTTAAACTAAACTCCTTGTGTGTGTCTGTCTGCATATTTATGCTCACACATATCGTTAAAGTCAGAAATAATTGGCAGCAAGGAGAAGCTGGCCCTGCAGCTGTTGAATGTGGGAAGTCATGTTGGACACTGGTTCAAGAAAAGGGGGAAAGGAAAAGAAAACAGATCGTTCATTGTACTAGGGAATTTATAATCTGTGTTTTACGTGGATGAGGAGAGACTTTTAGTTTTGATTGCAGAAGCTCCTAAAATTGGCTTCTATGTGTCCCTGTATGGTCGTTGTGACATTATGAAGAAACCATGTGAGCTTGCTTCTCTCTATTTACAATGGAGGAGCAAGAAGATACAAGACGTAGCCCCAGAGGAAGGAAGGAAGGAGGCTTCAGAGTGCCAATCTACATATAGATCTCAAAAAGAGGATCAGGATAATGCTTGACCGGTCTCCTTGCCTATTCCGTCCCCTCGAATACACTGAAGCAAATAACTTTATATTAATGTTGGTGATCTGATCCAACTACTAACACTGGGGGTGGGGGGGTATGAGTGTCTCTACCTCAAAACTCATGGCTAGTTACTCAATGAAAACTACCTGGTGAGATCAACCTGCACCAGCATACGGAATCCAGTCGGAGGTGCACAGAAATTGGTGATAGGGTAACTTGCAAGAGTCTGAATGGAGAAAATGAAAGCAGAGTCATTAATGAGACTGATACATGTGGCCAGTCACCCTCCAGACGAACTGAGAGGCCCCTCCTTTTGAGAATAATCCCATGCCCTCCTGGGTCACAAAGCTTAATCAGGCCTGTTGGAAAACCCCTGTAACTCCCCACAGAGACACATCGGGAGGCTTCCTTATCTCCTTTCATTTTCAGTTACTGCAGCAAGCTGTGAACAGTTAAGGATCAATTGACTGGAAGTGGATTTCTGACACCTCTGGTTTCATTATTTCATTTCTCCACACCTTTTGGGTGCTCCCTATTTTGCAAGAGCTGTCAAGGAGATGACATTCTGGCGATTGCTCATTTATGGGGTTGTCATGAGTCAGGGCTGGCTTGATGGAGCCTAACAACAACAAATGTCCCCCAGAGGACTCCACAGATGGAAATTTCACTGTTGAATTGGTTCCATGTTGCTCACTCCTGCTTCAGGATAAAGATACATTTCCCAGCTAGACAAATGCATTAAAAGTACAGTGGTGCCTCGCTTGACGACATTAATTCGTTCCAGCGAATTAACAAAATAAAAAACCCATTGAAACACACTGAAAACCGTTCAATGTGTTCCAATGGGCTAAATACCTGCTCGTCCAGCGAAGATCCTCCATATGGCAGCCATTTTCGGTGCCTGTAAAGCGAGGAATCTGTCCTAGAAAACAGCAGGGGGGCTCATTTTCTTCAGCTGGTGGCCATTTTGAAACCTGACGATCAGCTGTTTGCTGATCGTCGTACAGTGAAAATTGGTTCCAGAAGCAGGGAAATGATCATCGCACAGCGAAAAAACCCCATTTAAAGCATCGTTTTGCAATCGCAAAAGCGATTGCAAAAACATCAACGTAAAGTGGATTCGTCGTAGAGCGGGGTAATCGTCCAGTGGGGCACGACTGTACTTTTTTTTTGGTAGGGGAAGGGCTGTTGGGGAATCCTGATGGGTCTTTGATCTCATGAAGGTGCCCGCCTCTGGCATAGAGTAATTGGCAGAGGTGCTCTGGTGTTTCAGGCATGGGTTTACATGGAGGCCTCAAGGATGGACCCTGCAACCTTTCCGATGCAAAGCAGACACTTGACCACTAAGCTTTGGCCCGTCCCCTAAAATGCAACCCACACCTTGCACATGCTTATTCTTACATTTAAGACAAGTGTTGGTTCAAACTCTGGTAGGTGGTGGATGAATACACATGCGCCATGAATGAGAGGAGCAAACACACAACTCCAGGCTGCCTTCACCCATCCCGGGTCTGATATAGTCCAGATTACAGATGAAGGGCTCAGCTTCAGGCAGTGGCTGTTCAGTAGGGGGGAAATGGATTTTCAATCAATAACTGACTTGGGCCAACAGAATCCAGAGAATTTAAATTCCTAAATTTTAATTCCTAAAGCCCAAGAAGAAATAGCATCCTTTAAGCACCTCATTAAATTAATTGAAGCTGAATGGTGTAGAACTCAATTACCTGAAGCTTGGCTATGTGGAGGTGTTATAAGGGCCTGAAGGAAGGGGTAAATACACACACGGTGGCAATTAAACTTGGTAGCAGCAAAGGAGAGAGAAAGGGAATATAGTCTTTACCTACAAGGAAAATATGATCCTGACCCACAAGTCATCTCAGTTGAGGTCCATCTGGGTGGCCACCCCGAAGGAGGCCCATAAGTCTTCTATAAGAGGTAGGGCCTTCTTCGTGGTGGCTCCAACCTTAAGGAACCAGCTTCTATAGGAGCTCTGCCCAGTCCTCTCCCTGTTGATATTTGTTGTTGTTCAGTCGTTAAGTCATGTCTGACTCTTCGTGACCGCATGGATCAGAGCACGCCAGGCCCTCCTGTCTTCCACTGCCTCCCAGATTTGGGTCAAATTCATGTTGGTTGCTTCGATGACACTGTCCAGCCATCTCATCCTCTGTCGTCCCCTTTTCCTCTTGCCCTCACACTTTCCCAACATTAAGGTCTTTTCCAGGGAGTCTCTCTTCTCATGAGATGGCCAAAGTATTGGAGCCTCAGCTGCAGGATCTTTTCTTCCAGTGAGCACTCAGGGCTGATTTCCTTTAGAATTGATAGGTTTGTTCTCTTTGCATTCCAGGGGACTCTCAAGAGTCTCCTTTAGCACCACAATTCAAAAGCATCAATTCTTTGATATTTAGCAGACAACTAAAGACAGGGCTTTTCAGAGAGGCCTTCCACATCAACCCTAGTGAGCCACCCTCCCCCTCGCCTCACCCCACTTTCCTCTGTCTGCTTTGGTTTCTATATGATTGGTCTGTGCCATCTGTGTTTAAGGGTCATTTGTAAAATTGCTTTTAATGCTCTTATTTTAATTTTTGTCTTGTATTACATTTGTTGTGATTGCCCAGAGTAGTGCCTTGGCATTAATGGAAACGGGATATAAATCAAAGGAAGGAAGGAAGGAAAAGAAAGAAAGAACAATATTAAAATACAATGTTTAAATCTAAGAAGTATAGAAAGGCAGCTTACGTCATTAAAAGGCAGTATCAAAGCTAAGAACAATAAGTATACAAATATTAAAAAGAAAAAAACAAATACTACTCTTGAGAAACTGAAAAGACAAAAATGGAAAATTCAAGTAGTAGTAAATACCTAGGCAAAAATGGTAATGCATGACAATCCATCTAAAAATCACACGCAGGTAGCTGGTTACTGAGGGAAGGCTTGCCTGAAGAGAAAGATCTTCGTCTGCTTGCAGAAGGACAGCACAGAAGGGGCCAACCTAGCTTCCTGTGGGAGGGAGTTCCAAAGGCTGGATACGGCCACAGAGAAGGCTCTCTCCTGTGTCCCCAGAAGAAGCCCCTAAGAAAGGCCTCTCCTGATGATCTTAGCACCCAAGCCAGCCCATAATGGGAGATAATAGAAGAAAGCATGCTAACGTTGCAGCAAAAACAAGAAAAATATTGTAGTTCCTTAAAGAGCAGAACCGTAGTGGAATCAAGATTTGCAGAGTGAAAGCCCCAAGACTTTCTGAGTAGTTGGGACTATGGCATCATCTACAAGCCATCCTTAGGCTGCCTTGTTCTTTTCTGACTTTAGTTGCAATCCCCACAGTGGCTGGGAGAGTAATGGCTTTTCTCAGGAACAGTCAAATGCTGCTAGTCACCTCTCTTGCAATGCAGAAGCTTGGATGATGTTTGGTCTTTGAAGGACAATTAGGAGCCATATGTTTACAAGAAGACCTGCTCTTCATTTGTTGCACAATGTATTCGCGAAGGCTTTCACGGCCAGGATCTAATGGTTGTTGTGGGTTTTTCGGGCTTCTTGGCCGTGTTCTGAAAGTGGTTCTTCCTAACGTTTCGCCAGTCTCTGTGGCTGGCATCTTCAGAGGACAGCAAACTGTGCTCTGGGTAGGCTTGAGAGTGGGTGGAGTATTTGTGGCTGTGAGAAGGCTAGTTTGTGAGGTAGGCTATTGTCCTAATCAGGAGATGGTTGATTAATGTGTTTTGTTGTGGATCTATTGTTTTGATAAGGAGGGGAGATTATCTGTCCCTGTGGTTGATGGGTGTCATTAGCTGGTCTTTTGTGTGCAGTAATCCCCTGACCTTGTGGCTGGGTAGAGTTCGTTGACCTTTTGCACTCTGTGTTTTTGAGAGCTGGGAGCCAGGTTTTGTTGAGTTTCAGACTTTCCTCCTTCCGGTTGAAGTTTTGTTGATGCTTGCACAATGTCTTACACTGTCTCGTAGGGAGATGCCTAAAAAGAAGTGGGAACCAGCACTTCCAAATTTACCGGTGAGTAACTATTACAGGTTAACAAAGGTTATTCAATATAAAGACTATAAATGACAATAGCTTACATTTTGATTTGTTTTTAATTTTTCATAACGTCCATACGTTTAAATTGTGCAATGCTCTGATATAAAGAAACAAACAAACAAATAAAACTATAGGAGAATCTGGAAATATTCAGTATTTATTACCTGCCGAAGATCGAGAGTCCGATGCCATAACTGCAGTGGGAGTGGGCCACCATTTTGGGAGTCCCTGTCGTTCCACTGGTAAAGTAGATGGCCAAGGGGTCATCACTTTTTGTCTTCACACAGTTGTGGTTGGCAGGGGCAGCTCTAAAAAACAATCGCAGGGTTTGGCCAAGAGACGGGCTGAAGCACAGCAAAATACAGTCACTGAACCCGCACCCTACGAAAAGAAGATCAGAAGAGTAGCTGTACCAGGAGACTCCCTACTGCGTGGAACTGAGACCAAAATCTGCCAGGAAGGTCCATGGACTCTCCAGGTATGCTCTCTCCCTGGAGGCCAGGTAAGGGATGTTGCCATGACTCATAAAATCCACAGATACATCTCCCTTTCTTCTTGCCCACGTGGGAACCAACGACACAGCCAAGAAGAGCTTTGAAAAAAATCACATCATACTTTGAAGCTCTGGGAAGAAAATTCAAGGACTTTGGGGCCCAGATAGTTTTTTTTCATCTATGATACCAGTACTATGAAGAGGAACAGAAAGGGAAAGGAAAATACTCTGAGTGAATGACTGGCTACAAAGGTGGTGTCAACGTGAGGGGTTTGGTTTCTGGGACAATTAGCTAAGCTTCCTGGAAGAAGGACTTCTAGCAGGAGACAGCTTGCTCCTAAGGAGACTGTGTTTGGCCACAGCATGAGGAACTTCATCAGGAGGGCTTTAAACTGAAAAGAACAGAGATAACAGAAAGGGAGGTGGAACGGCAGTATATATATAAAAAATATGCATTCCTGCGCAGAAATACAGGAGGAGGAAGGCTGGCTGTCCCATCAAAAGCATCTGGATCAAAAGGATCAGGGCAAAAAAACACAAAAGGAACATGGAAGTTGGAGTCTACTCCTAGCCATCCAATCAAGGACAGGAAGCAGATGAAACTTTTGAAAAACAAATTTGCAAGGACTTCAAAGAGATACATAGTAGTAGTGATGGGAGATTTCTGTTATCCGAATATATGTTGGCAGGCAAATTCCATAAAGTATGGTCCTTCCAAGAAATTCCTGGCTTGTGTGGCTAATAACTTTCTCCCACAAAAAGTGGAGAAAGAAACTAGAGGACCAGCTATCTTTGACTTGATTCTAACCAAAAGAGATGACTTGGTGGAGGAAATGGCAGTAAAGGGAACTCTGGGCGAGAGTGATCATGTTTTACTAGAATTATTGATTCTAGGAAACCAAAGCAGAGTGCAGCCATGTACATATGCTGGATTTTAAAAAAATGCAGATTTAATAATCTCAGAAGGATAAGTAAGGTCCCATGGCAGGAGATCCTAAGAAGAAAAGGAATTCCAGAATGGTGGTAGTTTCTTTAAAAAAGAAGTTCTAGAGGCCAGTCAGCCAGACATCAATCCCAGGCAAAATTCTGGAACAAATTATAATACCAACACTATGTATGCACCTAGAAAACAAGGCAGGAATAACTAGAAGCCAACACAGATTTGTCAAGAACAAATCCTGCCAGACTAATCTGATCTCATTATTTGATCGGGTAGCCTCCCTGGTAGACAGAGGGAATGCTGTAGACATAGTATCTCTTGGATGAGGGAGTGCAGGGAATGCTTCTCAAATTTCCAGATGATACCAAATTGTATTTGCGAAGGCTTTCATGGCCGGGATCTAATGGTTGCTGTGGGTTTTTTTGGGCTCTTTGGCCGTGTTCTAAAGGTTGTTTTTCCTGACGTTTCACCAGTCTCCGTGGCCGGCATCATGAGAGGACAGCGCTCTGTGCTCTGAGCGCAGAGTGCTGTCCTCTGAAGATGCCGGCTACAGAGACTGGCAAAACGTTAGGAAGAACAACCTTCAGAACACGGCCAAAGAGCCCGAAAAACCCACAACAACCATCGATACCAAATTGGGTGGAATAGCTAATACCCTAGAAGACAGAAAAAAAATTCAAGATAATCTTGACAGGCTGGAGCATTGGGCTGAAAACAACAAAATGAAGTTCAAGAGGGAAAAGTGCAAAGTACTGCACCTCGGAAAAAGAAACCAAATGCACAGGTGCAAGATGGAAGATATCTGGCTCAGCAATAGTACAAGTGAGAAGGATCTTGGAATTGTCATAAAACACAGCTAAATATGAGCCACCAGTGTGATGTGGCTACAAAAAAGGCAAATCTATTTTAGGCTGCATTAATAGAATTATAGTTTCCAAATCCCGCTAGGTGATAGTCCCCCTCTATTCAGCATTGGTTAGGCCTCACCTTGAACTTTGTGTCCAGTTCTGGATGCCACACTTCAAGAAGGATGCTGACAAACTGGAACAAGTTCAGACGAGGGTGATAAAGATGATCAGGGGGCTGGAAACCCAGCCTTATGATGAAAGAACTGGGCATGTTTAGCCTTGAGAAAAGAAGACTGAAGGGATATATAACACTTTTCAAATACATGAAAAGCTGTCATACAGAGGAGGGGCAGGATCTGTTCTCAATGATCCCAGAGTGCAGGACACGCAACAATGGGCTCAAGTTACAGGAAGCCAGATTTAGGCTGAATATCAGAAAAACCTCTTAACTGTTAGAGCAGTATGATAATGGAACCAACTACCTTGAGAGGTGATGAGTGTTCCAATACTAGAGGTATTCATGGGAAACTTAGACAACCACTTGGCAGATATCTTTTGATGTGTATTCCTGCATCAAGCAAGGATTGTTGGACTTGATGGCCTTATCGGCCCCTTCCAACTTCACTATTCTATGATTCTACGATATAGCACACTTTTCACCTTTCAAAATGTCTGTACTTTTTATGATATCCAAGCTCTGCAATTCTCATCAGCCACCCAAACTTGGGAGGTACAAGTTTTCAGGCAACTGGAACACCTCCATCAGCAACAGAAACCTAGTGGGTTGTTATTCGGCAACCATGTTTCTGGCACAAGTTGTGCACCATGTAGAGTTAAACCCGCTGTCCAGGCATATGAAAATGGCTATCCAGACTTCCCATGTTGGTTCAGAAGCAAAGTGTTTTGCACAAGAGTGTCAGTCAAAATAGCCAAAAGACTGGAAATGGTTGAATCTCATGTCCTCATCTTCAAAAAGCAAGAGAAGAAATTGGTTATTAATTGGTTGATCTCTGAGTGTCTGCAACATAATGCTGTGAGCCAGTGCCGGCAAACACACTACAGTGGTGCCTCGCACAACGGGCGCCTCGTAGAGCAATGAATTCGCTCTACGAGGCCGGTTTTGCGATCGCAAATGCGATCGTAAAACAATGCCTGCATAGGGCGAAAATCGCAGAGCGAAGGTCGGTAAGCGGTTCGCTTACTGACCTTCGCTTTGCGACCCGTCGATCAGCTGTTCGGCGGCTACAAAATGGCCACCGGAAGCCCCAAAACAGCCGTGCGCAGCATTTTCGCGCCCTCGTAAAGCAAGGGGAGGGCGCGAAAATGGCTGCCGGCCATCCTGAAGCATCGCTGAACGGTGAGTATTCGGCCCAATTGGGTTTTTACGTTCTGTTCAACGATGCTTTCACATAGCGAGGGTTAATCCGGAACGGATTAACCTCGCTGTGCGAGGCACCACTGTATATATATTGTTACTAGTATGGCAGATCATGGTAATGGAAACAACAACCCAGTATCCTATTGTATCTCTACATTGACAGAAAGCCCCGCTTGGTGTAGCAGTGCAGGATCCGCATCCCTTCTGCAGACCAATCTGCAAGGGGTGAGTGACCTTTGTAAAGAAAATGCAGCCCCTCTTTACATAATGACAATTTATGTACCAATGGCATGATCCCGTATTAGCTCTGTGGAAGGGGCTTTTCATGCAGTGGATGCTCCATAGGAGGCTAGCCAAAGGAATGACACAATGCAAAAGAGAGACAAAATCTCAGGATGGATGAATGGATTTCTTTTCCTGATAAATTGACCAATGAATCTGAGCTAAAAATTTACTTGTATGATCTTCTTCAGGGGCTGTTAGGAAAGAACATGACGGGCACAGGAGAAATCCTCAAATGCAACCGTTCTAAAAGCCAGGGTAGTCCCCCTCAATTGAGATTCAATGCATCTTAAAAACAGCTTAAAAGTCTTTCCAAGAGGACACCTCCCCATCAAATACCATGTCACTACCATGTGATTTCTAAATCAATTCCATATCACCTCCCCATCAAATACCATGTGACTACCATGTGATTTCTAAATCAATTCCATTTAAAGTAAGCTTATTGCAAGGCAAATGTAAATATAAACAAGCTATTCCATTGCCCATCAGATCTACCCAACATGGTTGGTGGAAGGGGATTGTGGATGTTGTAGTCCATCAGGAGGGCCAAAGGTTTTCCATCTCTGGTGTTCCCATCACAGTTTCAATACTTACTGCAAGAGGTCCTTGAAGTTCAGCCAGCCGTCTCGGCCTCTGTCAGACACAAGGAGCTTGGTTCTCAAGGACTTGCATTCCGATGCAATGGAGTCCACTCCGGGAGCCAAAGTCTCGCTGACCACAATACATTTGGCTTTGGAAGCCTGGAGCCTGTAGGCGATGTCCTTAGCCATTAACTGGGATGTCTGCCTAGGCAAAAAAAAGTAGGGAGTCAGACTTCCATTGATTGCCCAGCTGTCCCCCTGCCTGGAGAAGAAAAAATAGTACATGGGTATATGTATTTTTCTATGTATAAGACCCCCCCATGTATAACCCCCACTTTTCTAATCCAAAATTAGCAAATCTAAGTGAGGCTTAGCAAGTGTGGGGGGAAAGGGATCAAAGCGCTGCAGGATCGCTTTGATCCCTCCTTTCCCCTCCACTTGTTTTTGTTCTCTCCTCAGCTTACTTCCATGTATAAGACGACCGTCAATTTTTAGTCTAAAGACTTTAGACAAAAGTATAGTCTTATATGCGGAAAAATATGGTAGATAATCTCTAAAATAGACTACTATATTGCTCCCTATATAGAGCTACCCTTGAGGTTAGTACAGAAACTTGAAGCAGTCCAAAATCCAGGTGGCCAGACTGATACAAGGTACCATCAGATATGAACACATATCCCTAGTTTTAGGATGCCTTCACGTTTTCCTTGTTAGTTTCCATGCCCAATTCAAGGTGCTGGTCATGACCTATGAAGTCCTTCATGGTATAGAGCCTCAATACATGTCAGAACATCTCTCCCACAAAACAGCTATGCATCTGATCTGCTTTTCACAACCCATGATGTTAAAAATGGTGAGATCGAAGGAAGCCCAAAAAGTTATCAGTAGGAACTGTGCTTTTCCAGTTGTGACCCCCTTCCTTTTGAAAAAAAAGCTTCCAACAGATTAATCCCATGCTTTCCCTCTCCGTTTTAAATAAATCAGTAAAAGCAGTATTATTTAAAGCCCCCTTTTATTAGTGCTTTGCTACCTGAGATGTTCAAACTTGTTTTAATTTGCTATTTAACGATAGGTTTTAGGTAGGGACTGGATAGCTCAGTGATTTAATATTCAATTCCTCCACTGTGCCTCCTGGGAGAGCTACCTGAGATGTTCAAACTTGTTTTAATTTGCTATTTAACGATAGGTTTTAGGTAGGGACTGGATAGCTCAGTGATTTAGTATTCAATTCCTCTACTGTGCCTCCTGGGAGAACAGCCAGCCTGTGTAGTCTTGGGTAAGCTGCACAGTCCCAGGAACCCCCCCCCCCCAAAAAGGAAAAGGGTAAACAACTTAGGGTCCACTCTCTGAAAAGGGTCACCATAAGCCAGATTGGCTTGATGGCACATAGTAGTAGTATTGGCAGCAGGGGGCAGGATTTTATTTATTTTACAGTATTTCTTGCATAGGAATTTGTTTCGTTTATTATATGTGACTTTAATGTGTTGTGAAATGCCCAGAGAGTGTGGACATTATGGGGCAGTATACAAGTTGAATGAATGAATGAATGAATGAATGAATGAATGAATGAATGAATGAATGAATAAGAAAACTGGTCTCCTATCTCTATGCTAGGCTGATTATACACACAATACAGTATTTCCCTTTAATGTGCTAAAAATGTCGGACCATGGCTAGGTAAGTCCACGCTGAGATTCTGATGCTGTCACAAAGCTTTCTACGTAGCCATGGGCTTGTCACTTCAAGCCCACGGTCATCTTATTGGTGACCAAGGTTTTCAAGTTGCCAAGTGTTGCCAGGCTTTTCTACTGCTTTAAAAAAATGTTTGGAAAAGATAAGATGCAGGTACATTAAATCAGGGCGCCTACACTTAAAAAGGCAAACATAAGAACAGGCCAACATGCCTACTTTTCTTTATTATTTTTTTAATTTTTTAAAACTCGGGATAAGATTAGGAGTACAGTACAGAAGGTAAGGAGAATGGGCAAAAAGGTGGGGAAGGAGAACATAAAATATACAGTGGTGCCTCGCTTAACAGGTGCCCCGCTTAACGACGAAATCTCATACCGACAAACTTTTTTGCGATCACTTTTGTGATCACATTGCGATGTTTTAAATGGGGAAAAATTGCTTTGCAACGATTGGTACCCTGTTTCGCTTACCGGTTATCGCAAAGCGATGATTTTTTAACAGCTGATCGGCTGTTAAATGGCCACCCGCTGTGTTTAGGGACGGATTCCTCACTTACCGGGTAGCGAAAATGACCGCTGTATAGAGGATCTTTGCTTAAAGGTCAGTTTTAAGCCCATCAGAACGCACTGAAGGGGCTTTTTAAAATTGCATAGCGACAAAATCGCTTTGCAGTGATTTTTACTGCACCGATTAACGTCGCTATGCGAGGCACCACTGTACTGTCATCAAATCCTGTTGTTCGTGTTACAATATCAAGTCCACTTTTCACCTTTGTACAGTTTGATTGCTATTCCAGATTTCTACTTCCAGTTACCTCTTCGTTTAATTCTGTTTATCAAGCTCTATCTACTGACTCAAGCCATTTATATAACAAATCCCATTGTTGCCTTTTGTATTGGAAGTCTTTCAACACTTTCGATAATCTATCCATCTCTGCCACTTCCCAAATCTTCTCTAAGAGATCCTTTTGCTTCAGTATCTAAAATTTCTTCCAGTTCTTAGCTTAAAGAATTCTGGCTCCTGAAACTATATGTATAACTAGATAACTCTTTGTCTTATCTATATTATTCAGTAAAAACAATTTTGGGTTTAGTGGAATACTGTATTACGGAATAAATTTTTTTGTAACAAAGTAGTAAGGTAAAGGTAAATGTCCCCTTGACATTTTAGTCAGACATGTTTGACTCTAGGGGGCGGTGCTCATCCCCATTTCCAAGCCGTAGAGCCACTGTTTGCCCGTAGACAGTTTCCATGGTCACGTGGCCAGCATGACTAGACATGGAATGCCGTGACCTTCCCACCGAGGTGGTACCTATTTATCTACTCGCATTTTTACATGCTTTCAAACTACTAGGTTGGCGAGGAGCTGGGACAAAGTGACGGGAGCTCACTCCATCGTGTGGATTCAGTCTTACAACTGCTGGTCTTCTGACCCTGCAGCACAGAGGCTTCTGCGGTTTAGCCCACAATGCCACCACATCCCACAACGTAGTATGTATTGCTATCTAGTACTGCTTCATTTCTCTACAAGGCCACTGCACGATAAAAGCTTCCCTCTTGTGCTTTACCCTTCCAACACACATTTGACACCTCTGTGTAAATCTTTGACAGTATTTCCGGAGTTATATACCACCTATAAAACAGTTACCGATTTTGCAAGCTTTATATTATTTTTCCATTTTTGCAACATGGCTACTTTTCTGAGCTCACAGATGGATCGATACAGCTGCTCAAATTTTGGCCCATTCCATGGAGGTGCAGCCATGTGAACTGCCATTGAGGAGCGCCTGCACTCTTACACCTTGGGCTTCTGCTGCTGCTGGAAGTGTGGGGTCTTTTCCGTCACATTCACCAACCTGCCCGCGTGCAAGCCAGAACCAGCAACCACCATTCCGGAATCCTGGGCAGCACCATCAGGACCCGGTCGCCTCTTTGCAAGCCGCATGGACCGGAGAGGACGTTGGCAGCTTTCCTGGACAAGACGCCCAAATCCTCGTAGCTCCATTTCACCTCTTCCTTCTGGTTGTTCACCCACCAGAAGACGGTCCTCTGAGGGTTCTTCCCTTCCTAGAAGACCAAGCCAGAAGCCAATACAAGATAAAAGGTGGCCAGAAGGGTTACATAAGAAATGGGAGAGACCTGTGCTGATATGAATTGGAGAGAATGTGGGGCTAAATCATGAAAGGAAAGCACAGTCAAGAAGGTCAGAAGGATCAAGGATCTTTTTAATGGCCCTACCATGGGGCAGTGTGAGGCAGCTGCTTCAGGTGGCAGACACTGATGCTTGATGTCCAACCTGTCTTGCTCCCTGTAAACTCCCATCTATGCCCAGGATTGGAGACAAGCAATCCAGAACGTTTTTTTGACATGGAATGGGAAACTACACCATCTTGTCTTCCAACTCCAGGAGCAAAATGTCTTGAGCTTGCTCAAGGAGTTCCTCCCTCTGTCCCTCGCGCAGGTCACAGAAGGACACCAAGGACCTCCTTGCCTAGCAGCTCTGGAGGTGGCAGAAGCCCTACCTTTTCCAACTCTGTCCATTTGTCCATAACATCGCTTGCAAAATTGAAATACTCGGGCACTTCCTTTTCACCCCGGTTGATGGCCTCGTAGTGAGAGGCGATCGGAGAGGCCAGGTACCTCTTGGCTTGGTGAAGGAACCCGCAGGGTGCTCTCAGGCTCCAGAAGAACTTAAACAAGGCCATGGCGGTGCAGGCGCAGGCAGCAGCTGGAGAAGGCTGACTTCTTTTGTTTCTCTGCAACAACATATGTTTAAACAGGCAGAGCAAGCCTTTGTGAATCTCTGATGGAAAGGAACATCTAATACAGTAGTGCCTTGCAAGACTAATGTAATTCGTTCCATGAAAAGCGCTGTCTTGCAAAAAAAAAAAAAATCGTCTTGCGAAAAGCGGCTTTCCATAGTAATGCATTGCAATGGATTCCTATGGGAACCTCACAAGACATGGAAAGGAACATCTAATACAGTAGTGCCTTGCAAGACGAATGTAATTCGTTCCATGGAAAGCGCTGTCTTGCAAAAAAAAAAAAATTGTCTTGGGAAAAGCGGCTTTCCATAGGAATGCATTGCAATGCATTCCTATGG